AGTGCACAGGGGCCTGCTCTGTTTAATCTGAAGGCCCCAAGCAAGTTTAATTTAACTGGCAACGCAAGCTAGCTGAAATATGATTGGTTAAAAACTCTACCATAATAAATAAGTTATTTATCGAGTGGCTTTCAATGTTATTTAAAATAACAGCCACTCAACTAAGTGGAAATAATATGATGTAAAGAATACAGAGAATAATTTTGTTTACATATTTATGAAAATAAAATAACAAATTCTAAAATAACATAAAATACAAAAAGTAAATTTACTTTTCTGAGAATGTTTAGGCCAGCAGAGAAGGCCTTGCTGGCCCTCAGGGTCCGCCACTGCTTTTGACGTTCTACATTCCAATAGTAGGAGCCTCTCAACAAACTTTGAACAAATTAGGGACTTCTTACAATCCTTGAAAAATAAGTTTCATGTTGTTGCCGTAACCCCATGGCATGAAGGTTCATTAAGTGTACATTTTCACGTTTTGCGTATGTTTTATCAAAGGGAAGTAATTGAAAGTTAAACACTTGGGAGCTCAAATTTCCCACAAGTTGTCAAGACATGTAGAAGTACAAAATGGCATTCCGGTGTCATTTATATGTTATTGCATTTGAGAGAAATCCAAAAAGTGGCGAGGTTCCTAAGCTATGTACATTATGTGTAAACTCACATCCATTATAATTCATAATCTTTGATCAATCATAAACCTGGTGTATTTCAATGCATTTCCCGGTATTTTGGTATTTTTCTCTTTAGTGCCGTGGAGCCAATTCTATGCGAAGTAAATTTTTTTGTTTGAGTGTTGACACTTTTACACCAGCTGATGGCGCCAAAGCCCAACTAATAATTTCGCATGCAAACCGCTGATCGCAGTCCTTTGAAGCTTCGATCAAGCTTGAAGTTGATTGCTGATATTGGACACAGTGTTGCACTCACCGCACGCGTGGATGTGCATGCACGCGCGTATACACGACAATTCTTCAGCATTTTTCTGCAAAACTAATGAAAAAAAATTTTCACGGGCAGGGTGGTCTTTTATTTTGATAACTTCCGCTAATAGCTGTATGCTTTTTCTTTGAAAGAACACAACAGGATGTATGCTGGCCCAAATGTCGTTAGCTTTGATCCCTTTGAGACCCGTGATCGGGAGACTGCAAGAGCAAAGTCTGTTGCTTGCTTGAAACCGACTGGATCTTATTGACACACATTACGAAGCTCTGCAGAAGTGCACTGGGGGTGCGGATGCACAGACGCGTGCGTAGCCCCCCGCGTCTCGTTGGGGTCTACCCGTGGGCCGGAGTAGCCGTCCGCCCGAGCACTGGCGCTTGGCCGGTGCCGGCGGGTGCACTCCAAAAGCGGGTCTTGGTTGCGGATCAGTCGGTAGTTGCGGAGGTAAAAGAGAAACGCGGCCGGCTTAAAAGAGGCCGAGGTTTCGCGTGAGCTACCTGCCTGAAAAAAAAAAAAGTGCGGAGCTCCAGCCCGTAGAGGCCGGATCTTCGTCCGGGCAACCCGCCCGAAGCGCCTCCTTGGTGGACTCGACAAGTGCCGTTGGCCGCCCAGTGGGGAAACTGCGATTGTAAAAAAAAATTGCAGCGCGATCTGCCTGCCTGAGTGCTTCTCTGGGACGGCCTCTGTAAGTGGAGTCGACCGCCCATAGGAGGACTTTGAGAAAAAAAAAAAAAAAAGTCCGTAGCTCCGGCCCGAAGAGGCCGGATCTTCGTCCGGGCAACCCGCCCGAAGCGCCTCCTGGGCGGACTCGACAAGTGCCGTTGACCGCCCAGTGGGGAAACTACTTTTGTCAAAAAAATTGGCATGAATTGAAAAAAATTTTTTCACCACTTTTTGACTAATTCAAAGCTCTAATTAGGCCATTTAAATATTCACCCAGAAATATTATATATATATA